ATCAATATCATTATTTTTCTAAAATCCTTAAATGACTAACCGAACCTTGAACTTATCAATAGTTCTACCAGATTTCATCTTCTTCTTGAAGATCTATCTGCAATTTCATGTTAAACGTGTTAAAGTAACAACACATATAAACATATAAAAAATATGTTAAATTCCAACAATACTATCCACATGTAGTCGTGACCGGAAAGCGCTTGACGATGTAGATGCATCTTGTATTGTCAAGTTGGCAAGCGTCTGCTCTCTCATCTTTAGTACTGCTTTGCTGATTATTCAACATAGCTTACATCCTAGTGGTTTGTTTATTACTCAATATTTGAAAGTGGTGACGGAAATAGCTTTCGAAGTTAAGGGCAAAATTGTCTAGTCGGTTTCGATTTTTTATAGTATGATTTCGGTTTTAACATATTTTAAACTGAGAATCGTTATTTTTTGTTTAAACAAAGACAATTTAAAAAAATGAAAATTTTAAAATTCTGTAAAAATATGTCGGTCAGGTTCTCTTATGTACTACTTCAATTATATTTTTTTTCGATTTCCCTTATTGCAGTGGGATGATGAAAAAAAAAGTTAAAAGATAATACAAGGAGAAACTTGTAATAATATTTTTTATTAAAATTATTATATTAATTTAAATTAAGATAATAATAAGGGGAGAGGGAATCACATATTTATATAGACTTTATTTATTTTAAACTATATATATATCTATATATATATATTGCAATTATACCTACAAGCTTCATCCCCATGTAGGTCTCTCTCGGTGTTTGAAAGTATTTTCGCCATTTGACTGGGACGGTGTACAGAAACCTCACTGGTAGTGTTGTTGAGGCATCTGACATTTGCAATTGTGAATTAGCTATCTCAATCTTCGAAATAATTCGGCGGGAACATAGACATGTGATTATACTTCAAACTTGGATCAACTATGTTGATTCCTTTCATTATGGTCGTCAATTTTTTAATTATGAAAAATTAACAAATGATAGTAAAATTTGGGTGAAAACTCAAACTTGATTTTTATAACTTGCAAATTTGAACATAGTTATGGCATGAAATACCAGAAAAATAAAGATACAATATATGTAATATAATAATATCTAAAAAATTGTATATGATTGAAAATATCAAATTTTTCACAATCATCGGTGGCATGCACTCGAGTGGTTAAAACTTAAAAATGAGTTATTGACCATATCCATGGTTGAGCAACAGTTTAAAACAAGTAAGACCATATGCAATGCAAAAATCTTAAGAACAATTATTATGTTTTCTCTCTCAGCCATGCCATGCCACATTGTAGAACCTAAAATAAAAATTTTATAATTTTCCACTTCAACAAATTTATTATTTTATTTAATATAAATCTTACATATGTAGACAAAAAGAAAAAATTAAATTGTGTTATGTTTTAATAAACACAATTTGTACAAATTACATTTAAATTTAAATTTATGCGGACCATATTCTCTATTTAGATCCTTTGATTCTCTCCTCGGATCGATTCATTTTTCAACTTTGATGGCTTATTTGATCCGAAGAGATTTGGTCTTTGGTTTGGCTTTGCCGGCTTTTGGGGGGCTTTGGTCTCCGTATGGGTGACTTGATCATTGACTTTGGATTTAATGTCTTCTTTAGACGATCCGAATCTTTATTTTTGAGGAGGTGGATTTGATGCTTCATAATGCTTTTTGCAAAGTATCTCTTTGACTTTTGGATCGAAGAGGGTCAGATTAGATGATTTGGTGAGGAACGCAATAAATATCTTGAAGATTTGGTAGAAACTTTAGAGGCATTCCCTTGGCTTTGACAAGCTCTTCAATGGCTTTTGGAACTTTGATCATTCCCCCGGCTTGACCATATCACAAAGAACGTTAACTTCATCGATTCATCAACCAATATTGTATCATTTATCCAAATCGGTGACTTTTCGACGAAAAATGCTTCGAAGAACACGAACAACAATGCAGAGAATCTAAAGAGACTTACCCTTGCACAAGTCTTCAAATGAACTTCGGTGTGTCAAGTGAATTGATTAAAACTCCTATTTATAAGGGGATGGCATCGGCTTCCTTTTCGGATGGTGCCACTTGCAAAATTTGATTGGCTGACAGGAAAATTTTGTTATCCTTCATTTCTCGTCGAACATTGTTTTCTATTTTTGAATAATTTGATTGCATATCTTCATTTCTCATCAATATCTTTATATTATTTCTTTTCTCGAAATGTATTAATTATAATACTTCATTTATTGAAAATATTTATTTAATTTATTGTCAAATTTATTATGGTTCTATATATGCATATAATATTTGTACGATATCTTCTATTTTAAGTAGATTTCGCATTAATTGTTAATATTTATTGTACAAAAATTTTCATATATGCATAATTAAATATCATATAATTATTTTATTGAAATTTTATTTTTAGTTTCCAAAATATATAATTTTTAATTGAATATAGGTATTTGTTTTTTTAATGCCTACAATATAATAATAAATTAATTTTTTATATTGCATTTTATATATATTTTATATTTTTAAATATTTTATTTTATCTTACCTTTAAATATGTAATATTTTATGTTTATTTTTAAAAATGTAATCTTTAATTTTTTAATTAATATAATTTTTTATATATTTTTTATTAAATATTATTAATTTTTTAATAAAATATACTACTTTGGTTCACTACTAATCTTTTTATTTGCATTTGAAGTTATTATTTTTTAATATTAAAAATATTTTTATATTTGTATAAAATATTTTTTTATAAATATCATTATATTTATATTATAAAACACTAATAATAATATTTTTATCATTTTTACTATATTTAATAATAATAATTAATATTTAAAATTAAATTATAATTATATAATAATATTATTTATATCAAATAATAAAATAAAAAATATATAATTTTCTCTCCCTTCCATGTGGAGGAAAGAAAAAAATAAAAACAAATCTATTTATATTCTTGAAAGAGAACCCTTTTTACATATCTTATTTTTCTCTTTAATAAAAAATCGCCATGTAAATAAAGTTATTATATGGATAATAACACCCTATTGTACATAGTCTAAAAAATTGCCACAAAAACTTATTTGAAATCGTTGGTTTTTTCCTAAGACCAAATTTGGAATCGCTGTTTGACCAATTTGAGTTTGATTAAGACCATTCGCAGGAGATGCGCCACATCACAATTTTCAAAAAAAAAAAAAAAGAAAATTAATAGAAGCCGTGCTTTGTGATTTCATTGCCACTTAGGTATATATATAATATATATTATATATGTTTTGTTTTTTAATTTATATTAAATTTATTGTTATATTTAAATTTTGTAGTATTTTTATAATTCATAATATTTTGTATTTTATAAAATGATACCAATATTGAATATATTTTATCAATTGAAAATTTAAAATATATTAATACAAATATTATATCATTCTATTGAACAAATAATATTAATAAATTTAATTTAATTTATTAAATAAAATATAATTATAAATTTTAAAGTAATTAAATAATATAAAATTATATTAAACAATAAATATATTTAGTTTATAATTAATTATACATAAATAATTAATTATAATATAATATAACAATTAAATAAATAATTAATACTAAAAATTAAAACTATAAAAAATTAGAATAAGTATCTTTGTTGCAAATATAAAATAGAAGGCAGAAAGAAAAAGTAACGTGGATAACAAAAAATAATAAAGATATCTAAAAACGAATATCTCCATTGCGGATGGTTTAAGGATATGTGTGAAGATGCATCACATCACCAATTTTAAAAAATAAAAAATAAAAAATATAAATTTGTTGCTTCCAGAGATGCTGAGAAGATCTCGTTACATTGTCATGTGGCATTTACATATATATATATATGGTATATATATTTTGTTTTTGTAATTTATATTGAACTTATTTTTATATTTAAATTTTGTAATATTTTTATAATTCATAATATTTTATATTCTACAAAGTGATACCAATATTGAATATATTTTTATCAATTTAAAAGGTTAAAATATATAAATACAAATATTATATAATTCTATTGAACAAATCAATATTAATAAATTTAATGTAATTTATTAAATAAAATATAATTATAAATTTTAAAGCAATTAAATAATATAAAACATATGACAAAATTTTGGTTTGATGAATAATTAAGTTATTTGTTCTTATTTTAATTTTAAATATTTCTATTGTAATTGCAATATAATGTAATATTTTCTTAAAAAAAATTTAATTATTATTTTTATATTTTATATTTTAATTAACCAATAATAATTATAACAATAAAAATATAAATCTGATTTAAAATTAAAATTTTAAAATAAATTAAAACTAAATTTAATTAAATAATAAATAATATAATTTTTTCCATAATTTTTTAATAAATTAAAATATTGACAAATAATAATATAATATAATATAATATAATATAAATTAAATAAAGAATTAATACTAAAAATTAAAACTATAATTAAAAAATAATATATATATAATATGAAAATAAAAATTTATTAAAAAATTAGGATAAGTATCTTTGTTGCGAATATAAAATAGAAGAGAAATTTCGCTAACTACAGACAAAAAAAAGTGTGTGAATAATAAAAAATAGTGGAGAATTTCGATTGCAGATGATCTAATATGTCTTCGCCAGAATTGAATTGACCGACGGCCACATATGATTTTGGGTTAATTAATATTTTGCATTTTAACAATATTATATTTTAATATAAAATATGAGATTTAATAACCATTAAATCCAAAACTAAACTAGAAAAACAATCCATCGCAACACGAAGCAAAGCACGAATAAACCCAAAATGTATTGGAGTATAATTCAACAACTATTTTGTGGCATTTATTATTCATTTTTTTTAATAAAAATATTAAATCAAATAATTATTTTTTTATATAATATTATAAATTTATTTTACATTTATATAGCATTAAACTAGTATCAAAATTAATTTTTTTTTTATTATTAAAAAATTCAAACACACGACGACTTAAACATTTAAGATATGGTTTAGAAAGGAAGTCAAATTTTGGTTGGTAGAGCCTCCGTCTGCCATGGCGTCCGTAGCTACTTTCCTCACTTGTTTCGCCCTTGCCGCCATCCGCCGCCGGTCCGCACTCTCTGAATCCATAAACTCCTTGACCATCCCGGCGATCTCCTCCCGCCTCTGCAACTCCGACGGCAGCCGCCCTCTCCGGCCGTCCCACCCGATCCTCCAATCCTCCACCACATGCTTCCGAATCGTCACCTGATCCATTACGATTGGAAAAGCAATAATCGGGACTCCCGCGAATATCGCTTCCATCGTCGAATTCCAGCCGCAGTGCGTCCAGAAGCCGCCGACTGCCCGGTGGCAGAGCACTCTCAGCTGATCGCACCACGCCACCACTCGCCCTCGCCCTGCCACGTCCCCGTCCCCACACGCCGCCTGCAGCCGCGCCGCCTCCCCACGTGCCACCCACAGAAACCTGACGCCGCTGTCTTTCAGACCGCCGGCGATCTCGTCCATCTGCCTCGATGATACGGAGAGGAAGCTCCCTAGAGACACGTACAGTACCGAATTCGGCGGCTGAGCGTCCAGCCAGGCTAAGTAGTCGGCGGCGGCGGAAGTTTGCAGACCGGAGTAGGGTATGCAGGCCGGACCAAAAGTGTAGATAGGAAACGGAAACTCTTCCTGAAGCGCGTCCACAACCTCCGATTCGATTCCGTAGATTGTCGTGAAGAGCAGAAACTGCGCCTTGGACACGTTGGGGAAGATGGATCGGGTCAGGCGGAGCAGACGCTGGTCCGCCATGAAAGCGATCGACGGAAGGTCAGCGAGGCGGATGGAAGGGATGCCAGGAACGTACGAAACTCGTTCATCTCCTCTCTCTGAAAGGTCGCCAGAATTAATGGAATCGGAAAAATTAGGGTTAATTAACAATTGTGAAATTACAATTGGGGTGAGGGACTGACCGGAGAGGTCGGCGGGGTGGTGGCCATGGCGGACGAGGCGGTCGAAATGGTGGAAGACGGCGAAGACGGAGGCGGGCATGGCCCAGAGCGACGCCACCGGAATGTTGCGGCGGTTCCCGAACTCGACCGCCCAGTTGAGAAACGTATCGGCGATGATGAAGTGGACCGGGCGGTCGAGGCGGTCGAGGAGTTTCTCGAGCGGTTCCTCCATTTTGGTCTGAGTGGCGGCGACGAAGCTGGGCATGTCAGCGGCGCGGTCGGCCTCGGAGGGAAGGACGTTGGGGATGGCGGCGAACCGGATGCGGCGGGGAGGGTTCTCGGCGGCGAGGAGGCGGAGCCACTCTTCGGTGACGACGACGGTGATGAGTAGCCGGCCGTCGCCGGCAAGGAGCTTGCAGAGGTTCAACATGGGGTTGACGTGGCCTCTGCCGGGATAAGGTACGGCCACCACGTGGCACGCCGTCATTGGATCCATTGGACTTTTAATTTTAATTGGATCGGAGACTGCGCCAGAGCGATCGGAGAATGTCATTGGGTTCAATTATATAATACTCCCTCGTTCAACTAGAAATATATATATTTCGTTTTGGGATGTTCAATTACAAAGTAAATATTTTGTTAAATACTTTACTTTTTTCACAAATACTATTACTTTATATCACATCATTACTTTTACACTAAAAAACAATGGCAAAAATATCATTTTACTACTTTTAACTATCCACTATAATTAAAATACAATTATTTCTTAAACATCGTCCCAAAAGTAAGTAAATGTTTATTTTGTGTATGGACGGAGGAAGTATTAAAATTAGAATTGTTTATTCCGTATATGTATATATATAAGGGTAAATTATATAACACTCCTTTATGTTTTTAGTAAAAATGCACAAAACACCCTGTATTTTATTTATTGCGTGAAACTCTCTTGTGTTAATATAAAATTTGCACGAAATACCCTTATTGTTCAAAACTAATTTTCGATTCCAAATAAAAACCTAAGTTATGCAAGTTTTATAAAAATAAAATATAAAATATCTTAAATAATTTTTTTTTAATAAAATAAATAAATAAATAATTGATCAATAATTTATTTTTACAATTTTGTAAAAATTAGATAACAATGTCTTCAAAAACTATAACATAAAAAATAAATTAATTAATTATTTTATTTAAAAAAATTATTTACATATTTTATATTTTTTTATATAAAATTTACGTAATTTAGATCTTTATTTAGAATCGAATATCAGTTTTAGATAAAGAGGATGTTTTATGTAAACTTTACATTAACACAAGGGAGTTTCACGTAATAAATAAAATATAGAATGTTTTGTGCATTTTTACTAAAAAAAAATAAAAAAAATAAAAAAATACAATGGGGTGTTATATAATTTGCCAAATATATAAATAATTAGGTGAGGTGAGCGATATTAGGAAGATTGGGACCAACTAACTATAAACAAACCAACCACGAAAGTGTGTATGTCCAAATCGGCAAATGCATACAAACAATACAGACAGTCAATCACGACTTGGAGTAATACTAGTATATTTTAGAGGATGGAGTTTTAAAGTATATATATATATATATATATATATATTTTTTTAATATATAAAAAGGATAGTATAAAATTATTATTTTATTAAGAAATTAATTGGTGTGTTTAATTTTGATTTCAAATAACAAAAAGAAATTTCACTATTCCGTTTATATTATTTTTAATAAAAGTAATTTTATTTTTTTTTATAAAAAACAAATATTATTTAAAATAAGAAGAAAGAAAAAAATTAAACCAAAATCAAACAATCATACAATATTTTTCTTAAACAAAATATTGTAAATAAGTAATAAAACATAATTTTAAAATGCATGTAATGAGTGTAACTTGTTGAGAACCTCAGCGCGAGTTCATATGCATTTATTTTTCTTCCCTGTATTACTTTTCAATTAAATATTACTATTAAATTATTAAATAATGACTTCCTTCGACAACATTATTTGAATTGGCTTCTTCAATAAGTTATTTGATTGAAGGACGGCAATGTGTTTGTTTGTGTTTTGGTTTGAAGAAAAATAAAAATTGTAGTGAGATAAAAGAGAATTGTGTAGATAATGTAAAAATAATAAATGTGTGTAGTAGTATATTAATTTTTTTGAAATAGTATTTTAGTTTAATATATATATATACATATCTTTTTGTGTAACATATAAAATAATTATATCGATAATATAAAAATAATATTTAAAATTAAATTATTGATTTTATATAAGAGAATATAATATATATTTTCTCTATAAGTATATATATTTTGTCATTTTTAATTATCAAACACAAATTTATAGATTTTACTACACAACAAATATATTTTCGCATTTATACTTATTTATGTTAATACTCTTGTATTGATTTTACATATTGTATAAGTTAAATAGTTTAACATATACTCCCTTCGTCCTATGTAATATGGGTGTATTACCGTAGACACGAGAATTTAGGTAAAGTATAATTAGTAAGTAATTAAGAAGTATATTAGTAAAAATAATTATAGATTAAGATTAAGATAAATAAATAGTTCAATTAAAATTAAGAAAATTATAAAATTTAAAATTTAAAATGCGATTAAAGTCCATAATTATATTTTCATAAATAGAAATGACAAGTTATGTGGGACGGACGAAAATAGAAAATAGAGACAAATTATGTGGGAGGTAGGGGAGTATAAACTATCATCAATTACTATTAAAACATAATTTATTAAATTTCATACAAAAAAATAAATATTTATTTTTTAAATGGACGAAATTTTTTTTATTTATATTACATAAGTGTGTGTATATTTTATCTATTATTAATATTTAGAGGTGATCGTATCAGTAACATAAATATTAGGTGAACAAAGTTATAACCGTATGGAATGAAAAATTGAAGTGGGTAGTCATTAAAATGACAGTTTGGGTGTGTTTGTTTGGTGCTGGGGATTGGATTTTAAATACACTATTCATCATTTTTTTTTTCTCAAAAATATCAAATTAAACACTATTTTTTATTTTTTATATTATATTAAAAATCAATTTTACATTCAAAATATCACATCGACACCTATTTATATCACATCATACAACTATTCAAATTCAAAATTTTTACTATTCAAATCCCAACTCAAAATTCAAAACTTCCGACAAACACACTTTGAGTAGTGTATAATAATGTCTTGTTGAATATTTGTAGTACTCATTCATCATGATTCATGGGCTCACTGCACTTTACTTTCCACAGTAAACCTAACAATACAATACAATAATACAAGAAGTCAAATTTCAACCCTTACTTTACTTTGGTGGAAAGTGCATGGTTTGTTTCCTTAATTTCAAATCAAAATTTGTAATGTTCATATGATATCATTTCAATACAAAGAATATTTAAAGGAAAAAATATGTATATTTAAAAAAAAAAAAAAAAAAAAAAAAAAAAACCACCCTTTTTCTTTGAACCCTTCCAATAAAAAAAAAATAAAAAAAAATCATTCTTTTGTTTTGTATTTTGAATTTAAATAATATTTTAATATTATATTTTTATATTAAAAAATAAATATTTTATTAAAGATGTGACAATTGTATAGAGAAAAAATATTAGAAAAATAAATAAAATAACATACAAAAATAATACTTTTCCCGAATATCTTATGCTGGATTCATCTTAGCCTTCCTTCTAATGATTTTAATTAAATAAATAATATCTAAACCAATGGGTGTATGATTAGAATTTAATAATGCCAAATTAGTCAAATAAGAGTTTAGTTTGTTTGATTTTTTATTTATTTTACTCTTTGAGGTTTTTATTTGAAATTTTATTTATAAAATAATATTATGTTGTGTGTGAGCTGTTAATTTTTGGATGAAATGCAGAATTACACATACCTCAAATGTTTATCATTTATTAGAAAAGCATGTTTGTTTGTATGTTTGAAAGTTAAATTTTTCATAGTAGAATATTAAATTAAAATAATTATTTTGAAATAATATAAGTAAAAATATCAATAATTTAACAGTTTTAGAGAAAATATTAATAAATAATAAAATTGAAATTGTAAATCCCAATATAGTATCAAAATTTTTAAAATTTATTATTTGAATTATGTATTTTTTTAAAAATAAAAATAAAATAAAATATTTTTTCGTCCCAACCCAAAGTACTATTTTTATTATTTTTGTAAGTTCAATTCATAATTTTCTTTTTTCTATTTTAGTAAAAGTAATCATATACTAATACCAAATATCCTTAACTTTTATTTAAATTACAAATATACAATTATACATACAATTATTTTATATATCAAGTTAATGAGCAAAATTGTCAAAATCTCTTACACACTTTCATCGACCAATAATATACTATTATTTTTTAAATTACTATAAAACTTCAAACAAGTACAATCATGGGGCAGAGAAAATATTTTTTCTTTTTACAAATCTAACCAAACATTATTTAAATATTTTCTCAAACCAACCCTAAAAACACACCATTATATTTCAATTATTATTATTTTTTTAATTCTACAACTGCAATACTTAGCTGTAAAAATAGATTATTTTCTCTAAACTTTAGAACTAATTATAAACAAAAAAACACAACACAGCTTTATTGGTGTGGTTATGTTTTATGGAGTTTGGAAGATTTTGATTTGAATTTGGTATTAAAACAATATATGATTGAATATTTTTTTAGGAGATAAAATGTATTTTTTTAAAAAAAAAATATAAAATTCAAATAGTAAAAAATTAAAATTTAGAGGATAAGACCATCTCCAATTCATAACTCTATTTTTGCAAAGTTACATTTCTCCATTCTGCTACAATAACCCATTTCTAACCATACCTTCTATTTTTCAGGTCTCTTCTCCAACTATACCCTCCATTTTTGCAGGATTAAATAAATAGATATTTGTATTAAAAAAAAATAATTGTATTAAAAAAAAAAAGATAATTATATTTAAAAAAAAGAAAAAATGCACCCGCTGTAGAGTAGGTTGGACCAGCGGAATACTTTAACATCCGCTGATTTCAGCGGGTAAATTCTGCAAAACTACATGATAGATTGAAACAGTTTTTTTTTTTTCTCCACCATGCTAAAATAGAGGAAAACCTCCTCCATTGTAGATGATCTAAAGAAACACACCTGAACTTAAACTACAGTAGCAATGTGCGAATAAAAAGCTTTCGCATTTATTATACTACATGCTATCTCGTGCTTTGTAAGACCCATCTCTAGTCCACCCTCCAAAAGCAATATTCACCTTACATTTATAGGGTTGTCACCTCTCAGCAGAATTTTTCAAATTCGAGAGACGTGAGAGGGTGATTTTTTTTTTTTTTTTTTTTTTTTTTTAAATTTAAAAATTATTTTAAAATTGTATTTTTGTTTATTTATTTTATTTTTCGTGAATTTTATTTTATTGTATAAAAAATAATTTATTTTTTTATATTTATATTTTAATTTCATAATTAATATTAATTTTTATATTGTATTTATTATATTTAATCAAGTAATATTATAAATTTTTATTTATATTTTTCATAAATATAATAATATTATAATTTTAATTTATTTAATTTAAAAATAATTATTTTTTTTTCATGT